ACACAAAGTTGTCAGTCTGATAACATTTATGTTTCAAGTTTGATTTAATGCAGTTCATCAGTAGACTGATAATGTTTTTGCATGATCTATAATTGTCTTTTTCTACACTATTTGTTGAATTGATCTGGAAAAAATTGTGTCATGTTAAGATCAAACAAGATATAAGGCATTTCATGCAATCCGTAGCATATTTCCCCCCCCCCAAAAAAAACAGTATATCTCAATGATTTGTTTTATAGATAACATAGGCAACTGTTACAATATTCCCAAGTTTTTATTGACTATTTAGTTGGTTTTATGTGTAACTATTTTCATTTTATCACATAAACTGTTATGTTAAGTTTGTTAACTTTAAAACAAATCTACTAAAATAGCAGCTGATCAGAAAATGTTTGATTTTTTTGTTTAAGATAATGTGATTACAGTTATATTTAGAAGCTGAGAGAATGTCAATTTAAGGTTACAAAATACTAGAATACAATTACACTATTGGTTTAACATTGTTTGTGTGTGTGTGTGTACATATTTCAGTAGTATGTTACTGGTAAAGTAAATTGATAAAATAATTTGCGTTGAATGCGTTTGTATGATTTCTTATCATGAGATATTTCTAAACGTATTGCAATAGTTTATATGTTCTGATTTATTGTCTGTTATAATATTTATATATTTAAAGTTCACATTCGCAGACTGTTTTAATATTTGAGTTTTGTGTAAATGTCCGTTGAGTATTATGAAAATCGTGTGATAGTTATTTGTTCAAAGTTAACAAGACATCAACAGATAAGAAGCTTTTGAAATAAAGCAAACAATGTTTTTTTTTAATTTTCCAGTGTTCAATATGGGCTGCTGATAAAAGCCATATTAAAATTTTCTCTCACTATCAGCTGCACGTGTTAATTATGACTGTTACTAGTACTATTGTGTTGGATACTACTCTCAACGTAGTGGTATTTAGCTGTGTTGCACAGAAGTTACTGCTTAACTGAGAAGTGTCTGATCTGGATCTATGGCACAATCAGAGTGCTTTGGAGACTAGAAAGAACTGGAACACCTCTGCGGTTACTGCCGACCCCAAACCCGGATAAAGTAGGAGCGTTGGGTTGTGGGATTGGAAACCGCATCCCGATAAAAAACACTAACAAGAAAAAATAATTCAAACCATTTGAACTTTGCACTGGGAGTTAGGTTTTCATTTAGAAGAGTTATTATGATGTCTCATGATCAAAGCCGAGTTCCTTCAGAAGTCATAAGGCCGATGCCTCTTCAGATAAACAGAGCTCTTCCACAATCGACATCTTTTCTTACACCTGAAGCAGCACACGAGACCAAATTGGTCTCAATCAAACCCTTTCTGCACCTCGTAACGTCGATCTTATCTCCATGACTAGCCTCTTCTCACACTCATCACCCCGTACCGCGAATGCAAACAATTCGAGTTCACGAAACGTTATTCCCGGTCTCTTGAAACCCCGTTCTAAGCTATATGTTGGAGCTTTCAATGTTCGAACCTTATGTCAAATAGGACAACAAGCTTTCCTAGCCATGAGTTTAGAATCTCGTGCTGTTGATATATGCTGCATCTCTGAAACGCGCATACAATATCCAAGTAAAATCAATGATATGATTTCACCTTGTACAGACAGAGAATCAACTCGGTTTACGCTCCGTGTGTCTGGAAGCACTGTTACTGCTTTCCGTGGCCTCGCTGGTGTCGATGTAGCATTGAGTCTCAGTGCAGAAGTAGCTCTCTTAGACGGGATCCCAGTAGATAATTGTTTAAGCGCCGTCCGACTAAACGAGTTAGTAAAGACTCGAAAAGATAGAAAAACGCCGTCGCTTCGTCGTATCTGCCTAACTACAGTTCAGACGAGGTAAAGGATGAGTTTTACAGAAAGCTTTTAGAACTGCTTCGAAAAGTTAGGTGCTCTTATATCCGTTCTCTAATCAAAGGACGAGTGTACTGTGCAGCAGTTCGCTCCGTTCTCCTATATGACTGTGAAACATGGCCAGTGAGAGTAGAAGATATTCGTAGGTTACTGGTTTTCGATCATAGGTGTCTTCGAAGCATTGCTCGTATATCGTGGGACACCCGAGTGAGCAACGCTGTTATTAGGAAACGGGTACTAGGCAAGGATGGCAGATCAATCGATGAAGTGGTGAAACTTCATCAGTTGAGGTGGTTGGGACATGTCTTACGTATGCCGAACCACCGACTGCCTCGACGAACTTTGTTTTGTAGTGTAGGAGTAGGTTGGAAGAAAGTTAGGGGCGGCCAGACCAAAACATGGCAGAAATCCATGAAGTCATTGACAAGTGGACTGAGCCATGTCTGTAATTGTCGACTACCTGGTTGGGGTCCGCGAGATGATAATAATCGATGGTTAGAGACCTTGAACGACATCGCCCTAACCTCTCCGATTACTTCTAATTCCCTTACTACCTCTACTACTATTGGATTTGAATTGACAATTACCTCTCTGTGCTGATGTGGTATGGCAGCATGAACTGATGCACTTACGTACGAAGTTCTACGTTGCATCTGACTGCCTGACTGACTGACTTATATAGTTACAGTTAGTTACAGTTAGCGAGACTAAGTGAAAAGTAAAGACACTTCGGTGAACCTTATGGTGTCGTGGCTGATCGAACAGATAATGGTAACCGTCTGCTGTACATATGCTCAGATAACCGCCTGCTTCTGGCAAATACTAACTCTACGCATGTGGAGAAACGTATTTTGACATGACGACCCGCAAAGTCGTCCCAACGATGGACCCAACTGGATCATATGGCTACCAATTTTTCGACCTGGACGTCGATGTGTAGACCAAATATTCACTCTTCGTCAGATCCTGGAACTTTGACACTTATTTCGGCGTGTCACAATAGTTGTATTCCTTGACCTTACAGCGGCATTCGACTCTGTTGATTGTGAGGTTCTGTGGCAGTGTCTGTCACTTGAAGGTTTTCCTTCATTGCATTACTACTGCGTTCTCATAAACGAAATAGCTTGTGTGGGATTCAGACCTGAGACCTAGTTATCGAAAGTTGACCATCTTGATCACTAAACCATTGTTCCACTTAAATGTCTTAGTAATATTCGAGATTTATATAAATATTAATAAAATTGTCGTGCTTAGATTACTTGTACTTGACGTTAAATCATTAGTTTTCAACCATCAGGTAATAGTTCCGAACGCCGTCTTGTAATCAAATTTTTGTACTTTCTAGCTGTTGTTCATAAATAGTTACTTTAAGTGTATTTACGGTGTATTATTCGAAGTGTGAAATGTTGCATAAAGATATGCTGTTAGACTACTGGTATATGACCAAATAAGCTATGGACGTATATTCTATTTAGTAGTAATTTTTATAGTTTACATTTGTGGTTTAAGTTTCAATTTCATTCGATTTAATACTATTTCTTTATTCAGTAGTATTTGTATGATATTATGTATAAATTAAGATCAAGACTTTGTTAGGCGATGTAATCAACTTGCGTCACTTTTTGCGTAGAGGAGATATCCGTCTTCTAACGAAAGGAGGAATGTACTGCGCAGAGGTTTGCTGTCCTACTATATGGATGTCCAATAAGAGTAGAGGACATTCTTAGATTATTAGTATTCGATTATAGATGTCTTCAAAGCATTGCTCGTGTATCCTGGGACAACAAGTAAGCAATGCTATCGTTAGGAAACGAGTTCTAGGTAAGGATGGCAAATCAATAGATGAAGGAGTGAAACTTCCTCAGTTGAGGTGATTGGGACATGTGTTACGTATGCCTAACCACCGACCGCCTGGATGAGCGATGTTTTGTGGTGTCGGAGTAGGCTGGAAGAGAGCGAGGGGCGGTCAAACCAAAACATGGCACAAATGCATGAAGTCACTGACAAGTGGACTGAGTCATGTTGGTTGATGTAGGCCACCTGGTTGGGGTCCGCGAGACGAAAGTAACCGATGGTTAGAGACCTTGAACGACATGGCTCAAAATCGTTTGCAATGGCGCAGATGCATCATCCACTCTTTGTGTTCTCTCAGATTATAAGCTTTTGAGTTCCCATCATTTTTATCTTTCCCTTTCTAAGTATATTTCGCTGGGTTATATTTCTTGAATAATTTCTTTGAACCCTAATCTTCTCTATTACTGCTAATACTTCTCCTCTCTCTATCACTATGGGATTTTATCTGACAGTTTCCCCTCTCTATACAGATGTGGTATGACAACCTGAACTGATGTACATACATTTGTATGAAGTTCTATGTTGTAAATGACTGAAATATCTTGCAGTGATCCCAATATTCTTTTCTTTTATTCGTAAATACTTGGTTTTATTTCTATTTTTAATTGAAATTTGCACATTAAATATTCGGTTTGTTTGAAGATTCTGTATGGTAAGTATTGTGGTGTATGAATTTGTATGTTGAATGATTTTAAACAGTGATCTTTGATTATATTTAGTTTATTTTCTACAAAAATACATGTACTTTACACGTGATTGTTTACTCATTTTCATTCTAATCAGTGTGTTTCATATGTTATTATCTTTTGCAAATGTAAGAAATAACAATTTTCTTATCTAAATTTATTTATGGTTTCATTCTTTCGCTTACCCAGTTGTGTACACTTTCTTTTCATGATTGTTGTATTTGTTGTAGTGGAACTATTTGGGGGTTATTTTTATTTCACTCAGTCAGTAGTGGAATTCGGTTTTTTGTTTTACTTTTCATCGATTTCATTATAGTTGATTCACTCTAATTGAATTTATATTGTGTTCCCAATGCATTTATCGATTGTGTACTATTGTACTCTCATGAAAATTGGATTGACTATGACTATATTTGTCATTTTTATATTCGGTCTGAATAATTGAGTTAATGAGTCACTGCATTAAATCTACTGAATTTTAAGATAAATTCATTCAAAGTACAAAAGTTTTTTTCCTTTGCGTAAACTAACGTTGCATTTTCTCGTTTTTTCTACTGTTATTTTATTTTAGGCTTATTCTACTGTTGGAACACCGGATTATATTGCACCTGAAGTATTTCAACATCATGGTTATACAAATTCTTGTGATTGGTGGTCACTTGGTGTTATCATGTATGAAATGCTTATTGGTAAGTAAACAGTTTGAATGTTCAAGTTTTAGTTAATGGTGTTGCTGTTTACATGGAAGAATATTATTTTATTTACCATATTTTACATAAAGCTTCAATCTTCAGAATTTATTGACATTGGAAAGATGAACTAATGGATCCTAATCTATGCAATAAAACTTAAAAGATCTTGGATTCAATACATTTCAGGGCGACGATTTTTTGTACTGGAGAAAAGTTCTATACCATTATGAAACATATCTTTAGTGTTCCCAACCTGATCGTCATTCTCTAACACCATCTATTTTCAGCCTGAACAATCTCTGTTAACTTCTGACACTTATCAGAAAGGGACAGCGAAAAAAGGACAATAGTATATTACTTTTCGAAATCATAAATCAATCAACGTGAGACCACTGCTAGAAACTTGAAAGCACTAGTCGTCCTGGTGTACGACTCACTAGCAATGCTCATCCACGTCTCCTACAACTTTCAGAATTTGAACCCAGAACTCTGAACCACCGAGTCGACATCTAACGGTATTAATGTCTTGCTTCAATGAATCCATGGTCTTGTGCAACCTTATCTACTGTCCTCGGTGAGCACTACTTCACACCCGAACACTGTTGAACTCCACTGGTTACAACTTCTCACTAGATCTCGGAGAAACGTGCTCACAAAGCTAGTCACTAGTGAGCACATGTCCAGAGGTTAGGCGTTCGCGCGTGAAATCTAATGTCCTGAGTTCGATTCTTGTGAGTAGTGAGAGCGGTGGGTACGCGTTGCTAATCAACCTCATACCAGAACGAAATGGCCAACCGATGCTTTCAGTTTTCCAGAGATGGTCTAAAGTTGATCGATTCATGGTTTCAAAAATTAACTCAACAATAATTTTGAATAATTCGTTCCATCAGTATTAATTAAGACAAAAACTATCAAAATATTATCAGATCATTTTATATGATACGACACCAATATAGTTAACTTCAGATATAAATATTTTGTAAAATAAAATCTTATTAAAAATAATTTTATTACTACCTTGACAATAATTGACTTTAACAGACATAATTTATAATTCCAGATAATAAAAAAAAAAGACCACGCGACAAATCTGATTATACACAAAGACAATGTGTATGTGTTTTTATTTACGTGTATACAACGTAATTCGTAACGCTATTATTATGTATTGTTTAATTTGTAAATAATAACAATGATATATATATATATATATATATATATATATATACTATGTACTATGTACAGATAGTATTTGTCACTTCAATTTTTTGGTCACCAAAAAATAACTATTCCATATTGTTGTTATTATTGTATGCAGTGATGTGAATTGACGAAATGAAACAACTTTCTTATTTCTTCTGCATCACTTGTCACTAAAAATTTACTAGAAAAGAAAAAAAGACTAATTGTATGCCATTATTACCACTTATGATGCCATGGTGTATAGTTTCCAATTTCATGCTTTGGAAAATTGTTGAATTAACAAAATCATAGTCAGTAAAAATAATGAAGAGTGAATCTAGTTTTTTTTTTAAAACAGAAATTACATCATCTATCATCTCTTGTTTTTCTTCATTTTCACAAATAATACGACTGATTAGTTATGAAGTATAGTTCGATATGTTCGCTAATTCATATGACTGAAACTATTACGAGTTCACCTTACTCGATAAACGGCACGATGATCAACGATACAGTGACATGTTGTTAGACTATTCTAATATGTTTGTCTCAGACCCTGTTAACTGGATCAAGAAGGCCGTAAATAATGTATTCTAAAGGGAGTCAGAAAATGCGAAATTGCTAAGCACATCAATCAGGCTTATTTATACAATGATAGCAACACCGTTGGAAGAGCCACAAAATAGCATACTAAAATAAACCATCAACCAATGACAGTCAAGGATTTTCCGAGTGGGAAATGTTAGCTAAAGGTCAACTAAGTGTTTTATGTGCGAAAACTTAAAACTGTTGTTATTAAAGAGACAGTTGGTCTTTATCAGTTTTAAATACTTTACTGAAATGTGTATATTTAGCTAGTTCAACGAATAAGTTGTTGTTTTTTTCAAATTTCCATCTCATGATTCTTAGGTTACCCACCTTTTTGTTCAGCTACACCACAAGAAACTTATAAAAAAATTATGAATTGGAAAGAAGCATTATTTTTTCCACCTGAAATGCCTATTAGTAATCATTCAAGACATTTAATACAATCTTTATGTTGTGGAGCTGAAAAACGTCTATCAAGCATTGAAGATATACGAAAACAACAATTTTTCAACGGGGTCGACTGGGAGCATATACGAGAACGACCTGCAGCAATCCCAGTGAATATACGTTCAATTGATGATACTAGTAATTTTGATGAATTTCCCAATGCTGATTTAAGTTGGCGTAAGTTGTATGTGTGTTTTTTGTTTGATAAAGTCTTCACTCACTCACTCACACACACACACACATCTGTGTAATGAGCTATTCAAAATCTCAGTGCTGTTCAATGTTATAAATTTCCTAATTAAAACATATTTCATATTATTCAGCTTGATATGTTTATATACTATAAAGATGGCTGATTGGTTATTCAATCATTTCATGGATCATAGTGAAGATTCACAACAATTAATTTCATTGAATACTAGATGTTTTGTACACTCTCTGATTGAACTTACAAACCTTCAGCTTATTCCTTGTAATCAGTCTAAGTTTTCTTTAGAAGTGTTCCAGCAATAGGAATCGTGTGACTTTTGATAGCCTCTTTACGATAATATCAAAAAAATATTTAATTCTTTAGCATAGCTAAGATAAACAATCCATTCTTTATCATAGAAGGTCTGTGAAGATTATTGAATTTTTTTCAGTTTAAATCACGGACTGATTATAGTTAGGCTACAACTGAAAAGTAGGAAACACTGCTAATCATACATTCACTGTTGTTGATAGGTTTCAAAAGGCGATTGACCGAACTTAGATCAATAATCATGATTAGTGCAATCCAACTATGTTAAATGTGTGTGTATCAGTATCACCCACCGATGATATTAAGAAATGGTGTTTCAATTACCTCAAATTGAGTCAAGTCATTCAATGCAAATTTATTGAATGAGAACTTGTCGGTCTAAGGGTCGAATACGCATTGTTTAACATGAAGTCATTAATGAACGCTTATGAAAAATGCCAATAATCGGCTGAAACTATACTATCAAACGCTTCTTAGTTTTGAATAGTTTTGCCTATAAAGATAAATTCATGATGTTAAATTATAAATATTATTGTACACATGAATTTAATTGAACTGGTAACAACCACTGTTCTATAATTTATAGGAAGAAAAAAATAGTTGTTATTTTGTTTCTTAATAGCATTAATGAATTTCCACTGGTTTCATTTCATTTCCACCTCATTGTAAGAATTTAGCACCAACAACTCTTATGTTACTGCAACGGAAATAGATGAGATAAATCTTATAAGATTTTGTTAAATCATCATCAATATCTCTTTCGTGTTTAATATTCATAGTACTATTTCATAATACATTTAGTAGTACTTCTCATTACAAATTAATGTGATTTGTTGACATAAATGTACTGGACACATTGGATATAGGCGTTTTATCCTGCTTGATAGCTGTTGCACACCATACACGTTCAAATTATCTCACATGAAATCCAACCCCAAAAACTTTATATTGTCTTTAAAAAAAAGTGCCCACTACATTTAGGAAAGTTGATCGATCACTGAGTAAGGATCAGTGGTATGTTTTTATCGTCTGTTAGTACTAACCGAATTCTATGATTCAAGTTTTAATGTGGCCACTAGTCTGAATGATTTGATGATATAATTAGTCTGATAACTAGATATTTTCTTCGAACTATCGATTCGTTTTCAAGGGCATTTTTACTCTAATATCACTGTCGGTGATATTTAATGCGCTTCTGTTGTAAACTGAATAACATTCTTCAATAAAGCTTTTTGGACATTGACTAGTCAATCATCAGTAGTATTAATTTTACCTGAGGTCTATTCATGTCAAAAGGGGCTATCTGTGCCTCTGGTACAACATTTCATCGGAAAATTTACGTTTCATTTGGTATCACTTTGACAACACACACAAAGATAACATTGATTATACTGTATATAAAAAATACTTTTAAATAGTCAACTACGAAAATAGTACTCATTAGTAGTAAAATAATCAGATTACTTAAATCTCATACAAATCATATTCTGTATGATGATTTGCCTACCATAGATATTTAAATTAGTAATGACGTGATATTCAGTAACATTAAGTGTCTTTATTTGATTCAATGACTCAATACTATTGGTAGCATTCATGAGTTTTTTGAAATAGACATTTTGTCAAAGTTAGTAGTCATGTTAATTTAATAACAATATGTAATCGTTTCATTCTTTGTTTTATTTTTGTTCAGTGATTTGTTAAAGTCTCTGACTTTTATTATTTGTATTTTGAACAGTCAGTGGAACTATGATTTATGAAGAATGGTGCTTAAGCATTTCTGAATTAGTGGCCTTGAGATACTTTAATTACTTATTATGGTCGAAATAAAATTACAAATTAATGTGAGGAATTTGGACTATGAGTTAGAGTTACGGTTGAAGTTATCTATCTCCACGAACTATTAGAATGTCTTATGAATAAATAAATTCCATAATCTATGACCTCGTTGAATGATCTTTAGTGCATATAGTTTATTGTGAATTTTATATCAAAACACAAAGAAAATAGTTGAAATTAAGACTTTAGAAATATCACCCACTCATCACGTGGTACGAAACGAATTTCTCTTGTTTCCGTCCATAAAATTCAATGAACAGCTTAAATGTGTATATGTTTTTTTCTACATTTGTGACGGTGTTGTTTTCAGAAAAAAAATACACATTAATTAAGGAACTTGTCAATCAATGTTCAATTCTTTATTCTTCTCTAACGAAACTTGCTTTTCTTTGCGTGTTTATGTACTGTCATAAGCTTATATTTTCATCCCAGGAAGAATATAAGTTTTGGCTTGACACTAAAGCGTATTTACTTGCAAAAAAGATTATGGTTAAGTAACGTTTGTGATAATTGTATCAAAGATTAAAGTAATTTTTGTTCATTTTAATTCGACTGAATTGAAGAACTTGGCTTTCACACATCGGAATTCTCGCTCAAACTTAATCGTATAATCAGGCGCCCATTTTCAACTGATAAAAATTAATACAATGTTCAATTTTTAATTTCAAAAGAAAAATCATATTTCCCTTTTTCTTCTTCATTGATTTGTTTTTATTCTTTGTTTAATTCACTTCTGGGATTTATAATCAATGTTAATTAATCCATACTGTAAAAGCTTACAAAACTGTTCAATTAGAGAGATGTGTATGACTCACTTATGATATGATATTCATCGTAAAAGACTATTTGTCCGGAAAATGAAGTCTATTTTTCAACCTTATCAATTTAAACGAGACAATTGATTGATGGAAATGTTAATCATATTCATCTGTTTCGTTTGTACTTTTTTTGATGTGTGCATGTGTTGAAAGAAAGTAATTCACAATTTTATCCTCTTTTTTTGACTATATAAATTAGTTAGTCATTGAGAGAGAAATGGTGGAGAAAATTTGTGGCTCAGATGGATGATTGTAGTGGAGTTATTGTTCTCTGAGCTGGATGTTTTAGATTGTGACACTGTTGAAGTAGTTGTTCACAATGAAAGCTCTACAACTAAAACATCCAGCTTAGAGTTAGTCATTGATTAAAACGTTGAATGTACTTGAATTATATAGTTTCTAAATTAATGTTATCATATTTTATTAAACTAATTTTGTTAAATATCCCTATATAAAGCTTTTTTGTCTACATTATTAATCATCGAACACATGGTTAAGATAAATAAATAAATAACAATTTATATCTTAGACATTGGAAACATTTAAATTTGTCCAATATTTTTTTCTATCTGACTCATCATTCATTTATCCCAGTTAGAAATTAGTCTTACAATCAACCTATTTTACGGTACAGAAAAATGTAGATTGGTGTATATTTTTTTTTCTTCTTGCCAATACTTCCATAGTTCAATATAATTTTATTTCATTTAACTTGGAGGCGAAATTATTGACTTCAATTATTATTAGGAAAGAAATAAAATAATGATTAATAGGTTTAATCAATGTATAACATGAACAACTTAATGATGAGTAAACCACAATACATATCAGTACATCTCATTAGGTATCTATCTATTTAAACTAATCAATGTTCAATCCTCTCAGTATCACTGTTACTATAGTTACAAACATTTATTCTTATCATTTTTATTATTAACTTTATTTCATTGTACTGTGATGTTATACAGCAAGATAGATGTAAATTTATCTTAGAGTCAAAGTTAAATATGATTGACTGATTCAATTATTCAGTATTGAAAAATTCTTTATCTTTTACTTCTGGTATATTTTGCTTATATGCATTGATAAACCTGTTTTTTTTTGTTCATTAATAATTTAATTGCATTACGGGATTATGAAGATTGTTAAGTTACACATTTTTGAAATCATGAATCGATCAAAGTTAGACCACCATTAGAAACCTGGATGCACCGGACGGCCGTTTCGTCCTGGCACGAAACTCATCAGCAGTGCGCATCCACGACTCATGCACCTCGCTGGATTCGAACGCCTAACCTCTGGACCACTGAGCCGGTATCTAATAATGTCTAACTTTGATCGATTCACAGAGTTGCGCAACCTTATACACTGTCTTCGATAGTTAATTTTATTATTATTATTTTATTAAAGTATTTATTATCGATCAAAATAAATATGTTTTTCTTACCATTTATATATTTATTTGTTTTAAAACTAGCCAATGTTACAGATCCTATGAAAAGTTATCAGAAAAATTTAGCTTTTATCAATTATACTTATAAAGCATTTGATGGATGGACAAATAATGATCGAATATTAGATCGTCAATTATACAAACAACAACAATTTCAACGTCATCAAGCTGCCTTATCATCTAGAAGTATGCTGTCAGATTTAACTGGATTAAAGAATAAATCATCAGCATGATGAATTAGCTTGATACCATATACTATTCTCCTTTCTTACACGCACACACACACTGACACACTCCCACGTACACATACAAATGCACATACATACATATATACATACACTAGTGTGTATACTCTTTACATCTTTGTACATCTATCTCATACTTCTGTTCTGTTCTGTGTTCTCTTTTTCTCCGTTTTCTGGATTATTTTTGTTATGAAAATCTTTTCGCATAATTAAAAAAACACTTAAATGTAGCTTTGAAATGTTTGTTTACTTCATATTACACACCACCATCAGCACCACCACTATTACCATTATAAAAAATACCTTTAGTCTTTCTATGAACTTTCATTGTCATCATCATCATCATTATTATTATTATCATTACTCTTCTGTCGTATTGTCTAAATCATTTATTTTGTTGTCCAATCTTTATTTCTGTGTATAATTGTTTCGTTTGTTTCTATTTGCCCTAATCTCTTTTAATTCACACGATTGTTGTTTTCCAACGTGTAAAAATGTGATCGAACTGTTGTTGGAATGAGAAGTGTGTTTCCGTTTTTCGCCTGTATTCTTTTATTGTCTTTCGAAGTATTGATTTTTGTTGATTTGTAATTAATTCAAGCTTTCTAATCACATTCACATTCCTATGCTTCTTTGAAATTGCATTCCTTGAACAGTTGAAGAAAAAAAAACAACACATAACGTTCCATTTGTTCAAGCTATTATTGTTCTTGTTGTTTATTCTGCCATAGAAAAATGTGCCTTATTGCATCTTTTGAATAGGTTTGTTACTTGTCTTCTTTTGGGTCACTACTTTCTTCATATTCATCATTCAATAATGCTTGTGTAGATTTTGTCTGGTTTTTTAATCTTTATTCTATTCTATTCTATTCTGCTCAAATCTTATCATCTTTTTCTTGACTGTTTGTATGTGGATTTTGTATTCATGTACTGTAATTTTAATTCGGACTGAGTTATTTCATGAATTAGTTGATTATTCTCTATTTGTATGTGTGAATTTGTGTTCAGTGAATCCATTGTTTGTAATTATACTTTTTTTAGTTTACTATTTCAACAAAGAGATTATCATTATTATTATTATTGTTATTACTCTTCAATTTAACCAAAAACGTATATTTTTGTCTATTGCTACTGTTACACAAACTAAATGATCTTTACAGTTTTTCGTAGTTACATTGGTTTTCTCTTTTTTTTTTTAGAGTTGATGATCACATCCGTCATTTGGACAAAACGACTTACCTTTCTCTCTCTCTCTCTCTCTATTTCTCTGCATGTTCATTTCAATTTCTGCTTTTCCTTGTTTGTTCTATATTCAGTGCTTTTCGTAGACAGACCACTAGTCACCACCACCACCACCTCAAAATTCAAAATCATTGGTGTATGTACATGTGTAAAATTTCAATTTCTACTACATATATTGTTGATAAAACTCCATGAATAATACTGAGAAGCAGAAATCTTAATTTTATTCATATACAGAGTAGAATTTGAAATTTGTGTACATCAATGATTGTTGTTATTTGTTACAATAGAAGCTAACAGCTGGTGTTATTTGTTTTAATGATAATGATGATGATGATGATGTTGATAAAAATCTATTCACAAAGAACAAATAATAAAAGCTATTTTTGTCTACTTTCCGGCTGATTGAATTTCTTGAAACAATGATGAATATCTTTTCTCAGTTGACATTTCAACTATTCATCCTCTACGCTGATGATGATGATGATGATGATGATGATGACAATGTGGTCACTTTTGTTGTCTTTGACGGAATGTTAGCATAAATTGGTACTGTTGTCTTGGAAAGAGTTTTTTTTTCTTCTTTCTATATATTTTATGTTTATACTCATTGAGATAGTGTTGTTTAGTTCTTCTAATCTATCTTTTCTATCTTCTTTTTGGAATCTGTGTTATTATTATTATTATTCCGATGTACTAGAAACACATTACTGTTCATTATCATTTCTAGTGTTCTGTATACAACAGATAATGAATAAAAAATAAAGATGAAGAATTGTATTGTATTGTTGTTAATGATAATGATGATGGCGATATTTTTACATTCATTATTTTTCATATAAGAAGAAGAAGGAGAACAAGAAAACATTTAATTTCCATCTATTGAAAGTGAATTTACATCATTACATATTTCGATTGAATGTACGTGCACGTTTCTTCTTCACTACTAATAAAATGTCTAATCGATAATATGCTTTTAGCAGAGACTACTACAGTTAATCCATGGCGTAGGAGATTATTTCAAGTAAAATTGATCCTTAGAAATAAATATAGAATATTAAACATTTCGGTCAGAAGTAGTAGTCCTACATAAGATCGTAATAAATTTATCGATTTTTCAGTAGTTCGTATCAAAAAATAACTTACGATAGACGAATAATGGAAACTGTGAATCAATGATAATGTGTTATGCTTTAATATAAAACATATCATTCATTAACTTATAAACACAATTCTGTATGTAGCTGCTAGTTTTCACTAGCCTTCTAGTTAAAGTTATCTGGTGGACCAGGGGCATGCTGATTAAAGTCAAACGATTCAGTATTCGGCTATCTACTATAGTTTGGGCAATCGGGTGGTATCTCTAGCATCGACTCAAAGCCAACAACGCAAATCCATACTTCGTAAATACTTCACGTTATAAATAATTATTGATTACGTATCATGAGTTCCACATATTTGTGATACTACTATAGTTAAATTAATCACCTAAATATTATAAAGTATTATAATATTCAAATGTACAATGTGATTAGCAGGTTGTGTGTGATAATTGATTGTAAAATTTCTCAGCATAACAAGTATGTACACAGATTAAATAAACTACAGTATTTAACAGTTTGTTTTTGTTTTATCGCAAGTCCATAGTACCGTGTAGTAGTGATAATTTCATCTAATAGAACAATCCATATGAAGTAGTCTATACTTTATCAAATTAAAATCTGATTTATTATCATTTGGTAGTCGCCTGCTGATGTTTAAAAATGTAAACGGAAATATATGTGTCTGTGTTTCTCAGCGTTGTTTCTTTGATTTCCTGAGAATAGTTTGTGTATCTTTAATACAAGATATAGACTGTGTGAAAATGGTCAACAAATACGCTTAAAATATAAACGTTGTAAGCATTATATAAATACGGTTTGAAACCACCACAAAGTAAGAAAAAAATGGATGTGGAACTTTCTAGTAAAAACAACTACGTAATGAATATGTTTTCGGTTGGAAAATTTATGCTTTGTATACATATCTCTCCTACACTTAAATCAATTTACACTAGTAGAGTAGAATTACAATGTGAAAAAACTACAGTATAACCAAAATCAGATTACAATCTGTGTAATTATTGTTACTCTTCAGAGCAATATACCTATCAGTACAAAATACATAGTCTTCTGACCACTTTAAGCAACAATGCAAGAATGTTCAGGATGCGATTCTCCCTCTCAAAATGCAAAGTGTTACCTCAGGATTGAGTTGCATCGGTACCTGGACTAGTAGTGATAGGGAGTGAAGCAGTCGAGCGCGTAGACCGCTTCATTTATCTTGAGAGTCTCATCAGTGCTGATGGCTTGGTATGTGACGAAATCTTATCACGGATGCACAAGGCTCGATTGGCTTTCGTCAACTCGCTTCAGTTATGGCGTAGGCGAGATATCCTTTTGCTAACCGAAGGGCGAGTGTACTGTGCAGCAGTTCGTTGCGTCCTAATTTATGTCTGAGAAACATGACCAGTAAGACTAGAAATTATTCATTCGTAGGTTTTCGATCTGTCGGGGACGTTAGATCCCCAGAACTTACTTGGAAAAGGTCCAAATTTTGTAATTTATTTCTAAAACTTTGAACTTTTATGTTTTCGAGCCAAGAGATACTTAGTTGGCATACAGCTTATATTTTCCACTCAGAAATCCTTGACTGTCATTGGTTGACGGATTTCTTTTGTACGCTATTTTGTGGCTCTCTCAAAGTTGTTGCTATCATTGTATAAATAAGCTTGATTTGGGTGCTTGAAAACCTCGTACTTTCTGGTAGAACACTCTCTATTCTTTATCAAGACTTCTTGCTTTTGTTAGCAGGGCCTGGGACAAACGGATTAGAATAGCCTATGGTGTCACTGAGTCATTGCTCTTCGTTCTGTTTACTGAGTAAGGTGAACTCGTAATAGCATTCAAGCATATCACGATTATAGGTGTCTTCGGAGCATCGCTCGAATAGCCTGGGACCACCGAGTAAATAATGCAGTGTTAGGAAGAGGGTACTAGGTAAGGATGGCAGATCAATAGATGAAATAGTGAATCTTTATCATTCAAGGTGATTGGAACACGTTTTATGAATGCCCATCCACCGACTGCCTTGACGAGCGATGTTTTGTGAGGTAGGACTGTGCTAGAAGAAAGTTAAGAGCGGCTAGACCAAAACATGGCAAAAATCCATGAAGTCACTTACAAGTGGACTGAGTCATGTCGGTAGTTGTCGACTACCTGGTTGGGGTCCGCGAGATGATAGTAATCGATGGTTAGAGACTTTGAATTATATGGCTCAAAATCATTTAAAAATGGCTCAGGTGCATCCACTGTTTGTGTTCTCTCTAATTCTAATCTTCTGAATTCCTCATCATCTCTATCGTTCTCTTCCTAAATTTATTTCACTGGGTTATATGTCTTGAATAATCTCTTCTCACCCTAACCTTCTCCATTACCGCTAATACTTCTACTATCTCTATCGCTATAGGATTTGAAATGGTAGTTGAGTCTCTGTGCTAATGTGATATGGCAACTTGAACTGATGAACGTATTTATGAAGTTCTACGTTGTTTTTGACTATCTGATTATCTGTACACTAAGAATTTAGTCATGATAAAACTAAGAAATAAAGAACAATTTTTATCTGAATACATTTTCAATACAGAATTAAAGAATTTTTTTTAAATGCGTAACAAATCAATTCAAACAAGTTTAGTCCATTAAAACTGATGTTTTCAGTGTGTAATGACGTAAATATTTTAAAGCGTCATGGTTTATGTTATCACGAAATCGAGAGTAATATTTGCATTTCAACTTGAAATTTAAATCTTACGACTACGTTAGTATTTGTTTTGTTTTTTTGTTCAATAAAATAATTTTATTTAATTTAACGTGTTTACATATTTCCTATGGTGTTTATTTTAAAGTTACAATTGTTTCACCAATTAAAATATGAATAATGAAGTCCGATATAATTAGAACAACAGAAGTACAAAGAAAATAGTTTGCTATAAACACACAATACCGTATCACTTATACGATCCCTAAACGAAAAAACAAAAGCTGTTTTTTCCCCAATGTCATATCTGTATTTTGAAAAAGTAACGTTGTTACCACTCTACAGGAGGTTATATTTTTAATTGTAAACAGAACTGACAGACTCTTAAAGATTTTTACAGTGAATTAGTTATTTCAACAAACAAAAATCAACACTTCTTAAAAATAACGCAGAAAATCAATCTTTATACTAACATTAGTTTCATTTCTAAGTTTTCATGAGTTATAGTTGTGAGTAGTTGGAAGGAGCTTTAGTGTAAAGAGTTTGTAGAGAGATTGCTTAATCGTTTGCTTAACATCACAAAGTTATCATAGTTGGAAAACCACCGAAAAACACCAAGTACTGCTCAGCTGTTTTGTTTTAGTACAGAACTACTCGGGAGTTTGTTACCATGACTCTACTGGGAATAGAACTAAGGGCTTTCAGGCGTCACCTTGATTACTTGTCCTGAATGGCGAAATAAGGCAGCATTTGAAAAATTTCTAGGACTTTTGGTGTTGGTGTTTAAAAAAAATCTTAGTCTATACCAATGTAACATAGAGCTATCAACATACTTTAGATTTTACATTGCAATAACTAGAAATACTGATGTGTTCTTAAGAGATGGCATTTAACACTTCTATTCTATTTTAGATAAGAAGTTAAGATATATATATATATATATATATATATATCCAAAATGTCATACATAGTTAAGGTTTACAAGCAGTTGCATGGCAGTTGTGCGAAAGGTATACAATGTACCTAACGTTTTGTTTTACTTCGCTTGAAAATGGAAATAAAACACTATCATTGATAATGTCATTTTCAAGGTAAATGAAAACACCGAGCACGGGACAACAATATTACCCTAACATGTCTATGTGTTCGATTATTTCTTAACGCATTTATTTGAAAAGATTTTATATAAACTGATCAATCCATAAATATAATTAATAAAACAAATCAGAGCATAGTTTGAGATTAATCAGTTTATTTAATAGATTCATAAAGCATGAAGTATCATCTTCATGAAGTAGGCTTTCAGGTCACATGTGTCCACAACATCTAACTCCTGAAATATCTCTATGGAAACGTGAAGAATTCATCCAGACGTCTGAATGAATAGTTTAGCAAAATATGTTGCATTGCACTTAACAGATAGATTTTCGTTTCCTCAACAATCTGGGAGTTTTTCCTACCATAAAAATTATTTTCCGCATTTGTTTTGTACACCTTGACTTTTAAGATAGTGTAGTTGCAGAAGTGATCAATCAAAGACCTAATGTTATCTTAGATACAATCCATTCATGAACAAATTCTATTCTTTTTTTAAGTACTTCCAACTGTATGAATATTTACTGTTTACTCCTTGAACTCAATTTCATTCACTTAATTTCCAATTATGAGTTAGAATGAAAGTAAGTAAGTAATATGGACGGATTATTTTTCGTAGAATCACTTGAACTGCCTAAAATTTAAATCCTCTGGTAAGATTAAATAATCAATAATGATAACTCGAATAAGTAAAGTGATAAGAGTTACCAGTGTTAAATGTGCATGTTTGTATGCAATCAGTTGAGGAATATAAAATAGAGTGTAACAGTAATTATTGACAAGATTGGTTGATTAATAATTTAAAGGTATTATATTGATTACGAATATAATTAATAAAAGTATATTATACTACAAAAAGTAAATTAAGTGACAGTTAAGCAGTTGACGATCATAAAATACCATAATGATACTGAAGA